TACTTCTATCTTTCCTCAAAATGAAAAACAACACAATTAACTCTGAACAAATTTTTTAACTGGAATTTTGATTAAATGTTATTTATATTTTAGTCATGGACAATTGTATATTGTAATTTCAAGAGTAATAAATCATAATGACTTGAAGATTCTGATGTGCAACAAAGACAGTATTTTCATAAATTTATACAAGTAATTTGAATTATAAAGTAGTCTTTCAAATATTGTAAATCATTTAATTTTTGTAGCTTAAAATAATGAAATTTCTATATTCTATTATATACTAATTTGTAACATTCGAAAATGATGTTTATATAATTTAGTAACTTAAATATGGCCCGTGCAACGCACGAGTGTGATACTAGTTTGGCGAGAGAATGAGTGACAATTACAAATCCTACCACTTCAAGTTAAAAAGTCAGGCTCTTCAATTTTCTCACTCACCGAGAATTAGAGAATCCGTATCCATTATTAATTTATTATGATTTATGAAGAAGCCAAACTAGGCGAGGGGCAATTGCACAAGAATTTTACCCCTCCGTCCCAAAAAGTTTTTCATGTTTCATTTTTTGCGCATCTCATAAAATACTTCTATCTCGTCTTGAATGCCAAAAAAACTTTCAAAATAACTTCTACCCACAATAAAGAAAAAATGTTGTAAGTTTTAGCCATTTTAGATGTCGGTAGAAGTGTTTTATGGAATGCGCAAAAAATGAAACAGGAAAGACGTTTTGGGATGGAGGGAGTATAAACTCCATAATATCTATGCCTTTGAAAAAATTGGGCCCTTCATAAAATTGGGCCCTGTGCAATCGATCATGGGGAACAGGCTCTGGGCCGCCCATGGACATTGAAATCGGTCAATGCCTCTGATTATAATTTGTGTTTGAGGCTCGATAATTATCACACAAGGTTTTAGGGCAATAATCTCTATAGCTAACAACAAAAGCTTAAGTGATACTCCCTCTGTCCCGTAAAAAAAGTTTTCCTTTCGTCCCAAAAAAACTTTTTATTTCTCACAAAAAGTCTATTATACCCCTCTATCCCAAACCCTAACGAAAGCTACCCTATCCGCCCCCAACCTGTTCTAATCTTCTTCTCTCCTCTTCACCACTGATTCCAATTCCCAAAGCTTCTCTCATATTCTCCCCTTGTCTTCTCTCATATCTAATCTCTAAATCTCTTCTCCTCTAAATCGATGAAAACTCACGACCCTACGATGCCCTTCTTTCAATTACTCAACGACAGTGATGATGAAACATCTCTTCCTCGTAAAAGATCCCCTCCACCCACTATTTCGAAGAGGAAGGATGAGGAGATTTGGGGATCTGGCTTGGATGGAGGTGGATCAGACTCCTCTGAGACGGATCCAACTTGGAGTTTCTGTAAAAAGTATTTAGGGGGGGGGGGTTATTACTTTGACCCTGAAAGGAGTTACGAAGAAGAGGATGAAGAAGAAGACTCGGAATCTGCGACATCTGCAAAGATCTTGGACATGTCTAAGAATGAGCTCAATTTCTCAGAAGCTACTTCAGACCCGGCTAAACGTAATCGTTTCAAATCAAGTAAGATGTATCTACTTTGATTTCCTTGCATAAAGAGATTTTAATTTTTTTTGGCAAACTAATGATGCAAAAAAGATAATGTTATGAAAACAGTTCTAAATGTGTGAGGTTTTTGCTGTAATGTCACCACTTTCATGTAGGAGACTTACACAAACCACATTTATGCTGGTATGGTCTGTGCTGTTTTTGGTCTACCTCTGTTTTGTAGTCTGAAAGGCTACGTATTTTCTGGTGATTTAAGTTCTGTTATGTGATTCTGAAAAATCACAAAATTAACTTGATTCTGTGAAAAAGGACTATTTATGGAAAGATACCCATAAAAGAAAGACCACTAGTTTAATATTTGATAATAGAGGACTAAATATGAAACCCCCCTGTTATAAAGAACCAATTATGGAATTACTCTAATGTGAATTAATGATAATAATAAAAATTAAAATGATAAACATAATTATTACTTTGTAACTAATAATAATTTAATTACAAAATTAACAATAGTAAGTATTATTATCATTGTTAATTAAATAATAAATAATAATCAGAATTAATAATAATAAATTATTATCATCATACTTAATAATAACTGAAATAGTAATTAGTAATAAAAATTATTAAAACGATAATAATCCTTATTATTATTAACTTATAATAATTAATGATAATGATAGTAACAATTAATAATAATTTTTATTTTTAAATGTAATAATAATTGTAAATTAATTAATTATAATAATAATGGAATTTTACAAAAATTATTATTTTAATAAACATAATTATTAAATAGTAATAATATTATTAATTAATAATTAAAATTAAAATTATTAATAATAAATATTATTATTTTAAATATTATTAATGATAGTTAATAATAAATTATTATTATTGCTCAAGTTATTTGAATTTGAATTAAATTTATTCAAATCATATCACATTCATTGAGATGAGATCAGATCAATTCAAATCAGATCAAAACAGCCTTAAAAGATTGAGATCAGATTAGATTAGATCAGGCAAAAGAACAACCTAACTTTGCAATCTTTTCACCTAATAAAATAATTATCTTAAGAAAAATGGAGAGAATCAAACGATGCAAAATCATTTTTTATCCGTTTTTACCGGGGGGGGGGGGGGGGGGGGG